AAGCAGTTATAGTCTTCGATATCACATGAGCAGTTCTACCCTATCCTTCAGGGTTATTATACATCTATGAGTGGGACTTGAATCTAATGGCAGTTTGTTTTGATTTTTTTTGTATTTTTAAGGGGGATTGATTTTTTTAAAAGGCTAGGATACCAAGGGTTCCACCATTCTTTGTCAGACCAATGGATTTAGTCTTTTTCATGGTTTTGAATTTTGTTTTACATTGTTTTCTTCCTCTCTGTCCAGGACCTTCTGTTGTGATCCCAATCAGAACAGTCACTAGTGGGAGCTAGGTACTATGTCTTTCTTCTGGTCTCCAGATGGTCTTCAGAGAACAGAGGCTGTGGTTTGCACAGTGTATTAGTCCACTGCACTAAATGTTTCCTTGAGTCTTTGATCTTCTTTGCACTTCTTTCCTCTGGATGAGGAGAGGCCAATAGCTGCATCTTAGATGGCAAGCCTTAAAGACCGAGTGACTCCTCACCAAAGTAACACGTAGAACATTATCTAGGTGGACTATATTATGCCAATGGAACTATGTCACTGGAGTCTGTGGTCCCAAGCACATTGATTTTCTTGAACTACTGTCCATCCTGGTGATGTGTACTTTCAAAATCTTATTTATGACATATATAAAATTGCAAACATACATTCAACTTTGTATTAATGATAATCCTAATCTGGTGCCTGGTACATCAATACTTGGTGTAGATAAATGAGCCCAGGGGGATTTTTGCCCTCTGACATAATTTCTTTTCTCTATATTGAATTAAAAGTTTCAGTAAATACTCAACAGATCTTTTCTTAAAAATATTGCTGAAATTGTTTTCTGATTTTAAAGCAATGCATCTACTTTGTAGAAAATCTAGGACACTGAGTAGGATGGATAAAGATGAAGAGATTTGTGGAGTCTAACAGAAGTTAATGAACACCCCCAAATAATTTTCCCTTTCTAACTAACAAGTCAAAATTTCATTTAGCTAAATGCAATCACTTTCATTGGTATTAGTGAATGCAAGGCTCAGAATTTATTTATGTTATTTTCCTGTAGCCTATTATGGCATAAAGATTTCCTATAACTCTTGTGTGAGATGGTTATTGCTATTTGGTGGTTTATTTTGTTTCAGTCAATTTTCTAAGATTTGTTCAGCATTCTCACATTGCAGAACTTGTCTAAGTAACTCGAACACATATGGGAATCCACTAGTCACATTGTGCTTTTCCCTTCATTCCTTCATCCTGAAAGTTACCCTGCTATCTCCATGAGGGCATGCCTCCATTGATTTATTCACCTGAATTGCACTTTCTCCTGTTACCTTTGTTCTGATGACAAGTAGATGGCATATTTGTTGTATTTTGGGGACACTGTTGGCTATAAATGACCGAAATGTAAACCAAACTATTTTAGACAAAAGGATTTACTGGTTCACATTTCTGAAATTACAGGAGTATACTTGGAAATAAGGTATACACAAAGCTTAATCTGGAGACTCAAAAATCATATCATAATAACTCTGTAATATATTATCTTTATGTCTGTAAAGGTTTACTCTATCACTTATCTCTATATCTATCACTATAATTATGTCTATTGTTTTATTTATAATCTCTATAACTCTGTATATATCTTGCCACTGTTTTTTTAATGTTGTCTTTAGTCACCAAGAGTAACAACTCTTGTCTAAACTGTTAACAACCCACCAAAAGAGACACCTGAATTTTCAATATTTTTAGCAAGAATCTTTATGATACCCTTTATAGCCTTCTCTGTGTAATTTCCAGCACTGAGTAAGTCTCTGCAGCCAAAGAGATAGAACCTTCTTACAGGTCAAATAGTCATCATCACCTACCTCTGTGATTGAGTCAAGTGAATCTCATATTAGCCACATGGCTGCATGGCCATGTGGTCCATGGGTACCAAACTGGTCATTCTCCCAGATATAGCCAAAGAACTCTTAGAAGATGTGAAACAGGCTAAAGCAAGAGAAGCCTTTATATTTTTTACTTTTAAAATTTTCTTTTGGGTATTTCATGAAACCTTTTCTGAGATATATAGCTCAAACGTAGGTTTCAGTGTCATGATTTACTTCTTACAAGGTTCCTTGGGATGAGAGAAGCTGTCATTCTGGGAGAAAATGGCCACTTACATGAAATGAAGTTTGTCAATATCCTAGGGGCAGCTGAGTTATTTACTAGAAGATAGACAATAACTTGGAAGGTGTCCTAGTTTCCAGGAATGATTAAGCATGATAGCAGGGAAAATCCAAAATATAAAATCTAATCAACTCTGAGATTAAACATTTTCTCTAGAACATCTTCCAAATTAAATGGAAAGTAAATAAAGCCCATTAACCATGGCAGGCTGAAGCAAAATGAGCTTTCATAGTCATAATTTGTATATCTGTGAAATCTACTTAAATGATTCTTAACCATTAACCTGTCATTAAAGCAATAAAAGGTTCTAGAAATATGACTCAAGCAATATTAAAGCTCAGAGAAAGAAATAGAATGATGAATTTGTAAATGAAGATAAAATTTGAACTAACAGATCTTTCCATCGACAAAATAAAACTTGAATCTTGATTATTTAGTAAACACTTATAATTATCTTTGTAATAAGGTGCTTTATAAACTCTTAAATTTTTTTATCTGAATTTATGGCACCAGCTCTTTAGGAAAAACTTCTGGAAAGCTAATTCCATCTACAAAACACCATTATATTCTAAGCTAACTAAGTTAAGTGGAAATCCAAAATATAGCACTAGTTTCTTTCTGTAGCATTACTTTATTAAATCCTTTGAATGATTCAAGCATTTGGAATAACATGAAGAAGAACTCTAAGATTGCCTCCAAGATTCCAATTTGCCTTATTTATCTGGTGGTGCTTTAACAAAAATACCCCAAGTGGATAACATTTAACAAACAAAAACGCATTCACTTACAGTTGAGTCGAGAAGCTTCAATCAATGGACCAACTCCAGGAAAGACTGTCTCCCTTTGCAAGCTCCTCTCACTATGTCACCGTTAACCTCTGTATCAATCTTGTATATTGGCATCGGTTTTACTTTGGGTCTAGGAGGTACACAGCATTGTTGTTGTCATTGCTTTCCGGTGCCATTTAGTTAGCTATGACTCATAGAGACCCTATGCATGACAGAACAAACACTGCTCAATCCTGTGCCATCCTTAAAATTGTTCCTATGCCTGAGCCCATTGTTGCAGCCATGGTGCCCATCCATGTCTGTGAGGGCCTTCCTCATTTTCGCTGCTCTTCCACTTTAGCAAACATGAAGTCCTTCTCCAGGGACTGGCCTCTCCTGAAAATATGTCCAACGTACCTAAGATGAACTATTTCCATACTTGCCTCCAAGGAGCTCTCTGGCTCTGCTTCTTCCAACACAAATTAGTTTGTCCGTTTAGCATTCCATGGTAAAAGTCACAGCATTGTTATTCTGGGTCTAAGGGATGCATAGCACTCCATGTCTTTCCTGGTGGGACTCAGGTTCCTCCTCTCTTCTCTCTTCTTCTACCTCTTGCTAGATAAAATATGATGTAAGCCATGCCCTAGGGAAGTGGTTCTCAACGTTCCTAATGCCATAACCCTTTCATACAGCTCCTCATGTGGTGGTGACCCCCAACCATAACATTATTTTCATTGCTACTTCATAACTGTAATTTTGCTAGTGTTATGAATTGCCATGTAAATATCTGATATTCAGGATGTATTTTCATTGTTACAAACTGAATATAAAGCAGAGTGATTAATCACAAAACAATGCCACTATGTATTATGAAATATTTATTTCTAATGACAAATAAATGAATTTTTTTCTTGAAGCATGGTGTACCATGGGGAACAGTCTTCACGCTGGGTTCTCATATGTGGGTGTATCTGCATGTGGGTAGACACGCCTGGAGATGGATAGAGGGGTGGTGTGTCAGTTTCTAAGACCATCAGAAATGTGTAGTTTTTTATGGTGTTAGTTGGTCTTAGGTGATCCCTGTGAAAGGGTCATTCAACCCCCAATGTGATCACAACCCACAGGTTGAGAACCACTGCTAGCGGAATTACTCTTACATCTGATTAGGATATGACCTGAGAAAAGTTGTTGAATATCACCTTAATCCTCTGACAGCTAATTGAGTTATCACATCAGATCAAATTATGGTGATGAGTTAAATTGTTGCATAACTGTTAAACAACTGAAAATAGGGGCCAAAGTTAACCTATCTATTGAAGTTCACAATTTAATCTATGTCATCACTCCTTCTGTGCTCTTCCTGTGTGACCACTGCAGCATGACTGGGACCGTGTATATGACAGGATTCACTCTTAGCTAGATTACATTCTGTGGCCAACATGGAGAGATTTTCAGATTTAATTAAACTACCCTAATCAATGGACTTTGAACTATGCATAACAAAATATTTCTCCCTTATAACAGTGATTTCAAACAATATTTATAATTTGTGATTGGGCAATTTCACTAATCATAATGCTCACCAGGTCCATCCATGCAGTGAGATAAACATTTTCATCCCACTGGGAACAGACTTTGTAGAATGTCAAGGTGGGGAGGAGGTAACACAGAAGGTAAATCTATTGCTAGACTGTTAATAGCAGTGAACTTGGGTAAAGTGGAAGAGAGAGGAAGACATTAAGGAACACTGAAAGGATGAACTATCGCAGGTTTCATTAATGGTTTACACTATTGAATATAAGGTCGATGACCTGAAATGTAAACCTCCACCTAATTGAGAATAAAACGATTGTTCTTTTAAAAATGAACAAAAGATATTCTGTGTGACCCTGACCTTATAGAAGTGTTCTTTTAATATGAGATTTAAAGGGGAGATACATGAAGGTGCAGTATATGCTCTTATTTAGCTTTGAAAAAGCATCACGCTAATGAAAGGGTAGATGGTTGGAAATGGTGGACAAGTTCTAAGATCTAATGGCTTCAACCTCACATGCACAATGATCTAAATGTTGTCTACAGTGAGCTTAAAAGAAGAGCCCAAGAAACAGCTAAGATTGCAGAACTCTCTGGGACAGAGATTCCATCTCTAGAAGACTCGAGCGTAATATCAAGGTAAGCTGTGCCCAAATTTCTGACTCTTGAAAATCATGTGGTCATCAATATGGGATGCTTTAAAGCTGCTAAATCCGTGGCATTTCTTATAGAGCAATAGAAAACTAGTACACATGTTTATGCAACACGACTTGTTTATATTTTGGTAGTAAAGTTACTATTTATGCATGTAATTCTTTCATTCTCAAAGAGCCTATGCTTAGATAAGCAATACAATAACTCGGGATATCTATGAGAAAGCAACGCCACTAATTAAATGTCTCTTATATAATAAAATATGCCTTCTTAGTTGGCATTTCATTATCTAAACATGGTTGTTTTTATCATCCTCAAAAGGCATGGCATTGTAGATTACATTTCCAGAGTAAAGCACATTTCTGAGTTAGAACCTTGAAAATGAAGAGTTAAAAGCTGTAGAAAAGAAGCAGCATTGTCTCCAGATGCCATATTGGGGAATTCACTCTGGCTTGCTTCTGAACCCATGTGTTAACAGAGGCAAGGGAACAGAAGATCACGTAGAATAAAGGACATCATGAGAAATCCTTTTTTCCCCTCTTAAAACCAACTCCCATTCGCAGTCTAGATAACTAGCTAAGTACTTATGGATGGGGATTTGTGAAAAGGAGATCTAGACCGTATACATACATCCACTAGAAGATCAAGTAATATTTTCCAGAGACATCTAGAAAGTGATTAGAGAAACCTGGCTTGATATGATGTCATGTCTAATGTTCATTAATATAAGCTGATGGCTTTGGATGCGTGATTGATGAAAACGTTGATGAATGCTTCCTCTAATAATCTTTCCAAGATCTGGGTGTCATTGACCTGCACTGCTGAAAGGTAGAAGGATATGTACATCCATCTATGTACCCAATGGCCAAGACCAGTCCATTTCAGCTCACTAACAACTAGGAGATTAAACTTCAGCAGTCCATTTCATTTTTGGTGGCTTTCAATGTTCCTAGATTCATATTTTGTACATTACAGATTCTGATGATGAGTAGATTTTTGCAGCTGTTTTTTCTTACTTTGAGTTGTGCCCAATCAGCAAATGTAGATCTCAAAGGCCCCCCGTCCAACGGCTTTTACTCCGTTCATACCTCCATGGTCTACTCTCCTCTGAGAAAGTAGCTCCTCCTCAGTCAGTCGTTCAGCCTGACAGGCACATCCTCTGACGCTCTCTCTCACAATGTTCTCATTCCATTTATTAAGACTTCAGTATCAGACAACGTGTCCATGCTGTGCATAAGGCTTTTAGTGGTTACTTCCTGCTAAGTGGGCAGCCAATTCCTCCTTCATTGTCTATTCTTAGTCTGGAAGCTCCACTAAATCCTCTTCACCTAGGGTGACCTGTTGCCATTTGAAAGACCAGTGACATAACTTCCAGCATCCCAGCAACACACAGGCAGCTACAGTATGGTAAACTGACAGACAAGCAGTAGAGTGAGGAGTGGGTGTATCTAAACTGAATGTTCAGGAGAAGAGAGAGCAAATTCTGGGTGGAGTAGTTAAGTAAATAGACTTTGCATGGAACAAATCAGGAGGTAGGACTATGGTTCAGAATTGTTTCTATGTAATTCAGATGTAAAATGACACGGTCTTACACTAATACAGTGCCGTAGGGTGGGGCTGATAAAATAGGATTTGACATGTATAAGAAAAATTAATAGAGAAAGACTTAAAACTATGTATTTTGTGCTTAACTCTAACTGAGGAAATAGGAAAATTTCCTGGTTGCTTACTTGGTTTCATAGTGAATAATTGATGAGTCCAAACATTGAACTAAAATCAATGTGACCTCCAAACTGCTGGTGTTCTACAACACCATTATACTACATTATACTTTTTAACATAAAAAAGTGTATTTTATAATACCTTGGGTCAGACTTGTTATTAGCTGCTGTCAAGGCAACCCTGACACATGGTAGTTCCGTGTTTCATGCCTAGAAATTGTAAGGCTGGCAAGGGAGTAGGCCGTGTTTTGATTTTCTTGTGAACAGGGTTACTATATGCTTCACAGTCAGCGAGGTGGTATGGCGCAATGCAAGCATTAATGACAGCAGATGGTCTGTGTTACCTCTAAGTGGGTCCAGAGCACCATTCTTTAGGTTAGCAGTGGAGTGCAAACCATTTGCATCATCTAAGGATTATAGGGCAATCATGAGAACAATCAAACTAGATATTGCTGAGAACTGGACTTAAAGTAGCCATGGTAAATTGAAATATTGTATGATTTCAGGTCAAAATCCGTCTGACGGCAGCAATGATAGCCCTTGCCCCAGTTCTCTTATGAGTTGAACCTGAATTTCTGGCAGTGCCTTCTCAATGTACTGCTGCAACCATGGTTGTATGATCTTCAGCACTTTGCTAGCATGTGATAGCAATAATATTACTCTATAGTTTGTGCAATCTATTGCTCACCTTTCTTTGGAATGAATACAAATATAGGTCTCTTCAAATCAGTCGGCCAGGTAGCTGTCTTAAAATGTTCTTGCCTAGATGAGCAAGCACTTGCAGTGCTTCACCAGCTTGTTCAGACACTCAACCAAGTATCCTGCCAATCCTCGAGACTTGGTTTCGGCTAAAGCCTTCAGGGCAGCTTAGCCTCCTTTCTTCAGTACCATTGCATTTTGATAGCCTTGATCCCATTGGAATTCTAGAACACCTAATTATGCTCGTGCAGAACTGGTACATAGATCAAGAGGCAGTTGTGCCAAGAGAACAAAGAATATCATGTTTCAAAATCAAGATAGGTGTGCGATCAAGCTTGTATCCTCTTACCATATTTACTGTATATACTCGCATATAAGCTGAGTTTTTCAGGACATTTCTCATGCAGTTTTGTGGTAAAATTAGGTGCCTCAGCTGATATTTAGGTCGGCATATACTCGAGCATATACGGTATTCATTATGTATGCTGAGCAGATAATCAGAGTAGCTGAGCTATGTGAAGAATGTGGCATCAGGATCAGCAGAAGGCTTAGCACCATCCTGTCATATGCAGGTGATATAGCCATGTTTGCTGAAAATGAGGAGGACTTGAATGAAGCTCTTGCTGATGGAGATCAAGGACTGCGGCCGTCAATATGGATTACAGCTTAATTATAGAATACAAAAATAGTCAACATAAAGCTACTTACCACAACCTCGTAAACTGAGACATGATTGAGGTTGTCAAAGATTTTGTCTTGCTTGTCCAATCTTATGGAGACAACAGTAAGGAAATAAAAAGTTGCATTTCATGGAATCAATCTTCTGCACAAGACCTCTTTAAAGTGTTGCAAAGAAAGTATGTATGCCACTTTCTTGATTAAGGTGTGGCATTGAATAAGGAAGACAGAAGAGAAATCAGTGCATTTGAATTATGGTGCTGGCACAGAATATTTAAAGTACCATAGACTGACAAAAGAACCAACAAATCTGTCTTGAGAAGGCAAGACTGTGTCTCATGCATTTTGGACATGTTATTAGGAGAGAGCAGCCACTTGAAAAGGACATCATGATTGACAAAGTGGAGAGGCAGGAAACAAAGAGGAAGATGCTCAACAGATGGATTAACACAGTGGCTGTAACAATGGGCTGGCTCATAACAACAGTTGTGAGGATGCTCAATACCGGACATGTTTTGTTCTGCTGTACCCAGGATTACTGTTGAACATAGGATTGCTATGGCACTTAACAACAATATAGATAACTGGGTGAGCCAAGGATGGGCACATGAACCGGTAATGAAATACTGGGATTAATGGGATGCTCTAGTGAAAAATTCAAGGCACAGGGGGAGAGATATAAAGAATACAAAAATTGCAAGTGAAATCTAAAAGATAGAAGTTCAAGTCATAGCAAAGTCATTTAGGAAGCCAAACAGATGGCATTGAGGGAGATCCAGCAACAGTAACATGTGAGTGAGAGGGCCAAGGCCAACCAGCTGAACTATGCCAAGTACCAAATCATTGAAGAAGGGTGATACCACCCTCTGAGAACACCCAGTACCAAGATTCATTCAATGTTACTCTATAAATAAGATGCTGAGAAACTTCTCTTGTATTTCCCCATGAGAGTGTGTGTGGTCCCTTGGTCTGATTCAGGGTCAAGTGTACAGGGTCTTAATATTTCTGCTGTAGATGATTCAGAGTAACAAGATACCTGGAAGGCCACTGCAGATATTGTCTATCCTTTCCCACTCTACATTTCCCAACCTCTCTCCCAACGGGGATTTCAACTTACTTTAGTTAAACCACAAGAGCTGGAATTAAATCTACCTGATGCCTACACTTACACAAATTCAGTTTGTGCTTTTTTTTAGTTTACTTTTTTTTCACCTCTGAGATTTTTGTGTAGGTCGCTTACAGCTAAAATCCTGTGTAGTTTTGAAATAAAATAAACCTCAACTGACGAGCCAGATTCACCATTTATTTTCTATACAATTACAGAGAACTAACTAAAGTCTTGGATTTCCTTTTTCACTCATAATGCGGGTGTTAATAAGAAGATACAGCCCTTACAATGGGGTGAACATGAGGTCATATAAGTTGTGAGCATACTTAGAAAACTACAAAAATAACCATGAAGATACTATATATATGGATAAATGAATATTATTAAAGTTGCAAATTACATTTTTCTCAGTCAGAGATTTAAAAAAATCAAACATGGATAAAATGTTTGTATTAGCTATTATGAGGAAGGTTTTTATAAACAATAAAAACCTTAATAAAAACAGTTAAGGTTTTTATTGTTATTATTAGTTATTATGAGGAAGGATTAAAGTAAGTTGGGCCTTTAGATGCATATTTTTGCTATTCATTTCTATTTTAATGACTTCTAACCCCAAAGTGCAGAAGAAAGACTAGGTTTTCTATTCCCATAAAGGAGCTATAGTCTTGGAAGCCCACTGGGTAGTTTTGTTCTGTCTTGTAAAGTCTCTGTGAGGCAAGATCAATTTGATGACAATGAGAATCCCAGAGCACCCTTTCTATTGAAAATCTAAATATATA